CTTTTACATGTTGTAGGCCGCTTAGGAGGCATCTTACTCGAATTTTAGCAATGGTGAAGTGTTGTATTTAAAACAAAAAGACACATGCAAGACTTTAGCAAGTAAGTAAAGACAATATTGTACACTACTACTTCATACAACACTGGTTTTCTTTCTACTGGACACATGGAACAACAAGTTTCCAGCGTTGCTACTGGATTTTTCATCCTGCAAGACGGAGTGACGAGCACTAATTTTGAAAAACATGTGTCAGTAAAAATAAATAGCACGTGAAAGGCTGCAAAGTATTTACTGAGAGAGGCCAGATAATCTCAAGTGCTACAAAGTGAAGGCTGGGGACAAATAATGCAAAAGCAATGTATTTTTTTTTTTTACTGTTTTTCATTGTAGTAGGGTTTATGACCCAAGGCTAAATAAAGCATCAAATCAAAGTAAGGTGTACATGCCTTCGTTTGATCATTGAATATGGCCAAATGTAAACATAATGGCTATAAAAAGACTTTAATTCCTCAGCAAAGAAAGTGCAGAATATATAAAAATACCTATAAAGTTACAATGACATGTGTGCACCAATGTTTAACATGTACTTTTGAGTGGCATATTTCATGACCACAGGTGCTAAAAGTGTTTACGTAAAAACAACAGAAAATTCTAACTCCCTGACAAAAGGTATTTGCTATATTAGTCTAAAAATTCAATCCTGTCTTCAATGGTAGTAACACAGATGTCATCACAAGTGTAATACAATAACACGAAATAAAAAGAATGTAAGGACACAAGATCACAGTAAATCAAGAGCTACAAAACATTGTTGGCTTCAGAACGAATGGCCCAATCCTGGTAGAAACTTACAAATGACTGATACCACAAAGTACAAGCCAGTAAAGAGGTTCCTCTTCACAAATCAGGCGACGTTCATAACCCCCGCAATTACAGGCCTATATCGTTAACAAGTATACCGTGTAAGCTCATGGAACACGGCATCTACTCCCACATAATCACTTTTTTAGAAAACAACTCGTTCCTTAGTGATCACCAGCATGGATTCCGGAAACAGTACTCGTGCGAGACCCAACTTCTCTGCTTTACTAATGACCTTTTTCTTGCCATTGACGCTTCTTCCCTTGTTGACTGTATTTTTCTCGACTTAGACAATGTTTCATCTTGGTGCGATACTTGGTTAATGAACCTTAATGTTACTAAATGCAAGGTAATGAGAGTTTCACGTCGAACATGTAATATTTCTACTAACTACGTACTTGATAATTCTCCCCTTACTAAAGTTAGCTCTTACAAGTACCTTGGCGTTACACTTTCTGACAACCTTTCCTGGCAGTCTCACATTGACCTCATTAAAAACAATGCTAACCGCACACTTGGTTATTTACGTAACTTCTCCCTTGCCCCGATGCAACTGAAACTTCTGCTCTATAAAACATTAGTCCGATCAAAGCTTGAATATTCATCATCTACATGGGATCCCCACGTAAACATCCATATCAGTAGCATCGAAGCAATTCAAAATCGCGCCGCTCGTTTCATTTTGTCAAACTATTCCCGTACAGCAAGCGTAACCCATATGAAGTCAACCTTAAATCTACCTAGCCTATCATTTCGCCGCGAAATCTCGCGCTCGTGCCTCTTCCACAAGTTGTACCATACCATGCACTCACTGAGTAACTCGCTTTTTTTTTGCCGCCATCCTACATTTCATCCAACAGCGATCACCTTCAAAGATGGAATTACAAGCAGCCGTACAAACCTCCATTTTAATTCATTCGTGCCCAAAACAAGCACGGACTGGAATCACCTTCCCGCTTCCATCGCATCCATCACTGACCCGGCCAACTTCAAAAGTACCATAAACGCATACCCTTTTTAAACATGCTCCATTTGTTTGTACAGATTGTTACTTGTTTTTCCACCACTCCTCTCTGTAACGCCTTGTGCATTGAGAGAAAATAAATGAAATGAAATGAAATAATACGTGCTTGCTTTAGGTATGTAGTAATTATACAGGCGATACTATGTTTTAAAGGAGATACTTGTACCCTTCACATCTGAAGAAATATTGGGGCGAAATTTTATCTTGATCTAGCTATCAGAAGTACCAAAAACACCACGTCAAAACTCTAAAGCTGGCCCAAAAGTTGATGTTGAGAAAAAAGCATTTTAAAGGTATAAATTGGAGCTCATTTATGTCGCAATTATATGTTTTATTTTGTTAATAATTTGTCCACCATGTAGAGCTTGGGGATCATCCTTATTTCGAGCATGTGGCTTTCGTTAACTCCTCATACGAAACTGTATAATAAGTAGCCAGGTTACAGTTTCCAAGGGAGTCTAGACATTGAGCTCTTTTTAGTTTTTAATAGCCACCTTGAACGCATTAAAAGTGATTTTAACATACTTTGAGTTTAGTTACAACCTCTGCCGTGAAAGTAGAGAAACCTAACTTGCAGGAGCCCATAAAAACAAAAATATCTAATTTTGGAAAAAAATCAATTTTTTTTTTACTCGCATCTGCCCTTAAAATTGCATATGGCTTTTCGTTTGAAGAACTGGCATGGGTACCATGTTTTTTGAAGAAAAATATGAACCAAGGACAGCTGCAGCTACCTAGTGAGTTGTGAAGTCACAAAAATTGTCAAACAAAAACAGGCAAGTGCTCAAAATTTCCGTGAATATTGTCTCATACCCTAATAACTTGTAACCCTTAAGCTCATTAAGGTGGATTAAGGACAGAACATACAGCGTATGCAGTGAAACAAAAACTGAAAAAGCCACTTGAGATACTACTCGGATGTAGCAACAGACTTAAAAATAAAGTGATGCCTCCTCCAAGCCCGATGTAAAAACCAAGACAGTCATGACAAGGCTCTAGATTCGTACACAATTTGTGCTTATTAAAACAGGTACTCTCTTTTCAAATATGCAATAAAAAGAACACCTTTAGCCACTGAGCCTGAAATTACAGCAATGATAGTAAATGAGTGCAACAATATTGCAATGTGTAAAAGGGGCCATTAATGTAGAAGGTGCACGTCAAGAACAGGAAAAAAGACTTATCTTTACGTCCTCAAAGTGCTACAGCTGGCTATGCTACATGTGATTTTGCCTGAGTTACACCAAGCCACGACAGCCTGCCCCCTTCAAATGCTCCCGTCAAAAAAAAGAAAGGAAAACATTCTCTAATCTTTGGACAATATTCCAAGTGGAAAAGGCGCACATGAACAAAGAAGTGACAGATATACATTCTGTGTCATCCATGGTTTGTGAGTAACTAAAATCTTTCACAAAGACAAATATAAAATAGTATTTGGAAAGCAAGTATGATGAATGACAGTATGTACAGCTACCCATTTTTTAAATCCTAACCGCACAAGCGTAGACTGCAGAATCGGTAAGCACAGGTTCCCGTAGGCTCCGTGTACGGTTATTGGAACGGCATGGTAACAAGGCAGCTGCCTGGGATTGTTCATCACGTGCACGCACATATCTGTTGAATTCGCAGGTGTCGCAATACAAAAAAATTTTTCCAACTTATGTTGGCTTCGAGAGGTCGATGAATATACAAAAACGGTATTATATATACCCTTAACAAGTGACAGAAATACCAAGTTTTTGCAAGCCAGAGCTCAGCAAGGATGCTGTAACCAGCCACACCACACATTCGTACAGCCCATGCGACTGCAGCGCCACCGCATACATCCGGGACCCGTCTAAGCTTCTGGCTTCAAGGCAGCACTCGACGCGCACCATCATCTGAACACATTGTAACCACGTCATTATTGTCCTGTGTCAACCACCCACTTATCTATAATAAAGATCACTTGGAAGACTAGGTTGGGTACTGTTCTTTCCTTTTCTCTTGATCATGTTAACTTGCGCTACTGCAGGATGAACATACAGCAGTTTGGAAGCTTAGGCAATTGGTTATGACACAGTTGTAATTAAAACAAGCCCTAAAAACACGCCACCTGACAGTAGGACGACACAGACAATGGTGCAGGTGTTTTTTGTTCAGTGGTCTCACGTACTTTTTATTTGTACACTATTCCAACCAAAAGAAACTTCACTATCGTGAAAATCCTGAATTGGTGTCAACATCGGACAAACACTGAGCTCCGACAAGTTGCGCAAATACATGCTGACTCACAGGCAGAGGGTAAACCTCTCACTCTGCACACTTGTTAAGCTCGGTCAGGTCCATGCTTATATGCACACCTCGATTACGCTTCTGCACAATGACCACTCCAGAACACCGCTGTGTTGACTCCTCCACTGCCTTAATGACTCAAAGCTCAACCATCTCTTGTAGTTTTACCTTGGCTTTCAACATTAACAGATGCGAGAACTTTTCATGGAGAGGTCAATGCTAGTGATGCAGCACCTTCTCTAAGCTTGATCTTGTATGCGAGCTCCATTTTACCAAGATCGGTAAGGAGTTCAGGAACTTCACTCTTTCGTTTAACACCTTCGCTTTTCTGACTAATAACTTGATCAAGGTGTTTCACAATGCTAGTTTTTCGTTAGCAGCCTTTCACCAGAGAGGCGTTTATGATGAAAAAAAAAATCAATTAAACTAGAAGTGGATTGAAATTGCCCTTAAAGAGTACAATGTGGCTATAAAACAACAACCAAATGCTCAATGTCTAGAGTCCCTGGAAGTTGTCACCTGTCTACAAGACATTAAATTTCTCATGAGTAGTTCATGAAAGCCACATGCCCAAGACGGCAATAATTCCCAAGGTCTCATAGTGAAATCATTTTAAAAAGCACCTCTTTGCCACAAAGATCAGGTTTGATTTCTACATTTAAACTGAATTTTCCCCAAGATGATATTTTGGCAAGCTTCTTAAGATTATTACATTCCTAATACTTACTTGCATTCTATAGTTCTTGTCGAGCAATATCAGCCATTAATCGCACATAATAAAAAAGTTTAGTGGCAGAAAAAGATTGTTCAAAAAAGTTATATTTTAGAGATTGTCATGGTGGAAAACAAAGTTGTGCAAATCAATAACAAACTGACTACATATCTGAAATCAGTATAAAAAGTTATGTAAAAAGCGAAAAGTTCATTACACTGTCTTATAAATTAAAAAAAAACCTTGACTTGCATGTCCCCTTAAAGAAAGGGTCTGTACACAACTCACTTTTTATCTTGACTTTCTTGTATGATGATGGTACACGTGGTTTACAAGCTGTTGTTTTCATAAAAAAGATGCATTGCAGTGGCAACAGAAGAATGGACGCTATTTTGTGTGGGTGTTCATGTGCCTAGTGAGACTGGTCTTCTTTGCAAACGACGCATTGCACTGGTCACAGGAAAATGGACGATCGCCTGTGTGAGTGCGCAAGTGATACACAAGGGACTGTTTCTGTGAGAACGATGCACTGCAGCAGTCACAGGAAAAGGGACGCTCCCCTGTGTGGGTGCGCATGTGGGCAGTGAGGTTCCCTTTCTGAGTAAATGCAGCTGGGCACAGGTGGCACTGGAAGGGCGCTGGCCCTGTGTTTGCGAAGGTGTGTTCGCATGAGTCCCCCTTTTTTGTTCACATAGCCGCACTGACTACACAAAAACAGTTCGCCTTGTACGGGCACGAGTGAATCGTGTTCCTTATGGAATGCCGAAGACAAGGAGCCTGCAAAACCACAGAAACAAGAGGAAGGCATTGGAAGCCATGGACAAACATTCTCTACAACATCACTACAACACGAAGAAATGAAGAAAAATTAGTGCACTTGTAGATGAAGTACACAATCACCTTTGCATCAGCAAGTCACATGTTACTGGAACGCAACCGAGCTACAAAATGGTTACAAAGAGTTTCTCTATTTGTTTGTAAATACTATGTCTAATATGTGCAAACACCTCCAGTGAATGTGCAAGAATTCAATATCAATGTAATTCTGATACTATCCCTAAATGACAAAGTTTATTTGTGATACACCAATAAATAAGGCCCTAGCCCAGATAACATTTATTGCATTTATTTTTTGTTCCCATAGAAAAATCCCTAAAATTCTGCACACTAACCAAATAACTTCATATTTCATCACACGAAGCATAAGAAATGATATATAAGTGTACAAGGTCAATCTGAAACAAACTGCGAAATATAACAAAATGGGAAATGAATCATTCAAAACAGATGGAAACGATATCACAGTTTGGTTGTCAGAAAAGCTGGCACATTTATGCGGACTGCCAAAATATGTTTTTCAGTGTACCTGTGCAATTTCCCATTTCCCATTCTTGCTTCTAAACTACTTTAGTGACAATGTTATGATTGCATGAAACATAAGTAAGCTATGCAACATATAACGTTCCAGACATTTACTCAAACAGACATACGAGCACTAATTCCTCATTTATCAAATAAGTATGTTCAAAGCTCATTAGCTCGGATTTGACGAGACTGGACAATGCATTTAAATGGACAAAATGCCAAACTACCAAAATTACTTGTTTAAGATATTTGAAAAATAAAACCATTTACCAATTCTTCATCAATCTGTAAATGCTCTAAATATTTCTCAGAAGTAAAAAAGTCGTAACTTTTGTCATCCTGATATTTTGTTCCAAAGCAGCCAAGCTTCACGAGACCCGTTTCAGTAAGCCTGAAAGGTGTTCTGCACCACAACCTTCCCTACAGTCACTACTATTACCTGCGCCACGCACACGTGTTTTTTCGCAGGTAATTTGGCTAGCGCTTCGTGCTCGGCACTCTCCAATCACCGTACGCGTTGACTGGGTTTAGGTCGAATATGATCAAATTACAAGAGCGTCATGCCATTGAACAATGTAGATTCCTCCCTCGACCAACAAACATGTTCGAATTATCGAGCTTTTACTGTACACTGAATGAAGGCAATGACTATTACACTTATACGACTGTCCTTATATACAAGAATGCTCCTACTTCCTTGGACATATACAAAACAGAGCACTCAACTCAATGCACTGCTTGCATTTTAAGCATCACCGAGAGAAAAGACAAATAAATATACAAACAATCGAATCAAGAATGGTATTCAATCAAGAATGTTAAGTGAATTGACATGGTTGTTGCTCAGTTAGCGGAACTGAAAAAAAAAAAAAGTTCACTTGTCCAGATCACAGATTTCGTTGTCTAGAAAACAAAACACAGACATGCACATATGTTTTAAAAGGTAAAATGCATAATAAAGTATTGCCAGGTTGTCACTACATGCGTACATTCTGCAGTGTAAAATCAAAGTGTCACTACCGAGTGTTGCCCTCGCTTAGATGCTTAGATGCAAATTTATTTCTCTCGGCACATTCAGATGTGTGAAGAAGCGCATTAAGCTAAAATCATTCAGAGCTTTGTAAAACAGAATATTCTGCTTCACGCTGATAATACATAAACATCGCAAAACAATCTATGACATTCTTCGCAATTTCAATCGAAAAAAAGGGCAGAAGTTGAATAGTCACTTTCACTCATTTCAATAAACCTATTCTTTGCAGCAGTCCACAGACATGGTCACATCTTAACCACAATCCTACGTTCACAAAATATTAAGCAGCAACATTTCGTGAAATAATGAACGACTTTTGGGAGGACACTGGAGCAATGTTTTTCTCGCAATATCCAAAGCATAAGACTTCTTCGTTTCTCCTATAAGGGATCGACACATCTGCGAAAGCACACAGACAACTGTTAAAGCCAGCACAAACAACACACTACACTCAAGGTCAGCTGAGTTTCATTAAACTTTTTTATTATTTTAATTGAGTGACAACTTTTCAGTACCTAGTTGATAAACTACTTATTTTTTTAAAAGACAACCTCTATACAGAAGGCAATACTAATTTGAGCACTTGAATTTGGAAGAAAAGAAAATATGAAATTGAACATTGAGGCAGTGTGTTGTAGCAGCATATTAGATATGAAAGAAACAAATGCTTCGTGAACCAAACCAATGAGCTAAGTGTCTGTTTCCTCATTTTAGCACAAAATATGTGGGTAGGCTATATTAAACAGAGGCCCTGTGGCTAAATAAAGATGGGTGCATCAACTGTTGATGCCAGGCAATCAAATGTGTAGACAGTTTCTTTTAGACACTGCGGGATGTTTAGAATGTGTCTTTCTTGAGTCGTAATAATAATGAAAGGCTGTGCTTCAAAGACAACACACACGCGAGACTTGAGCTAGCAAGCAAGTACAACTGCATGTACTATGCTCTTGAACAGCAGTGTGTCTCTCTACCATGACACATGGAATGAATTTTCAGTGTCATTAGCAAAGTTTCCAAGTTCAAAAAAGGAGTGATCAGAATGAATCTTGAAAAACAAAGATCAGTGAAGAAATTGGGGGACGCTCAAGCTCTGTCTTCAAGAGCTGAACGCGATAGTGATATCCTGTCCCTAATGCATACTTCAAACACTGCCAGTAGACCACCCAGAAAAAGTAAATTCAATAGGCATTGGTGCGATCAATGACTATAGCCAAATTTAGTGTGGATTTAAAAATACAGAGGTCCTGCATGCAAAACGTACATGAATAAAGATACCCAAATTGCAATAATACCACAAAAGGTGTGATATCTGTCTTTCTCGCCCATTCTCTATCCCTGTGACAAAACGAACGTCAAACATGTCCTATCAAAAAGTGTTTACTGTGAGCAGAGATAACAAGAATGTTTGCATAAAAATCGCAATCATTTCAACACCATGACAAACATTATTTGCTATCGTGCTGTTCACAGTGGGGATGCGATCAGCAGTGATGGTAGAACTCATAAATAAAGAAAACGGTCACATATAAAACCACGTTAAAACATGGGCTACTAACGAATGAAGTGGCTACACATCAAGTGGGCTCGTGGTTGTAGGAACTAACAAGCCAGTAGCATCAGAATACAACTGTTACGTACACTCAACTATGACGGTAAGGCTGAGACTTATGTCTCAAGAATAGACACTGAAGAAAGTGTTTTGCTGCTTAGACAAAGCCTGTTGAAGAGAAATAAGAAGCTGTCTGATAAAAAAGAAAGTGGTGATAGATGAAGTGAGATGGTTCTTCAAAAACCGTTGGCAAAGTGGAGTTTCCACTGTATCTCGATTTGTGTACATTCAATCAGAACATGCAACACAGACAGGTTCCTCCACCTACATCGGTCCAGAGCAGGCACGCCATTTAACACGACAACACCAAAGAGCTCGTTTCGCAAAAATTACAGCACCGGCGTGAACCTTGTTGGTTGTGAGCGAATAATTTAAATCTTGTGCATGACCTGAAAATCAAGAAACATGCAGATAAAATAAATTATTAAAAATTTCGGGTCTGAGTAAAATGAGCCGAAATCGTTTGCTTGGCAAACAGTTCTTCTACCACACAGCCACGCTGCCTATTTATTTATTCATTTATTTTTTTTCCCCTCAGGGCTCGAAATAATCACAGGGGGGAGAGGGTTACATACGCAGTACAACATGTTTTCATAAAAGATAGAAAAAAAGTTAGGGTGAAAACATATTCAATTATGAAGAAAACTGACAATAAATAGCACACAGTATAAAACGACAAGAACATTTTAAATAATACAAAGTGAAAATAAGGGTGCTTCACAGTAAAGATACAAAATGAAATAGCACACGGAGCACCAGCATGCGCTTATGAACCAAGGAATACATGTGAAAATATTGGGGCAAACAAAAAGGAAAGCTAAGAGGACGCTTAAAAATGTAAAGGAATGCAATGGTACAAAAATAATAGCTTTGAAACAATAGCAGGTTAGTTAAAGCAGCCTTGAATTTAGTATAATCAGCAATCTCGACTAACGATCAGGGAAGGTGATTCCAACTTGCTGCAGTACGCAGGATGAATGAATTTAAAAAATGGTCGGTGCGGCATGCGCGAATACCAACCTTATGACGATGGTTGATGCGGGCAGATGCGTACGAAGCAGGCATTATCAATTTAATTCTTTCATAATATATCTTGAGGAACAGGCAGAGGTGAAACATTTTTTCACATTCTAATCGCAGGGGCAATGACAAGCTTGCTTTCATGCGCGATGATAGTTAGAAAGGATGAAATTAGCAGCCCGACTCTGGACATATTTGAGCTGAGAGATGAGCAATTTTTTGTTGGGGTCCCATACAGCAGCATTTGGAGCAAACTAGAGAATTATAAAGAAGTAATTTCAAAGAACTGTAAGAGAGGTAAAAATTGTGGCGCATATAACCCAGCATGCGATTAGCGTTAATAGCATGACCGGAGTAAAAATAACTTTTTCTGCTTGAAAATGCAGTGAAAATAACTTTCACGTTTTATCAAAACACGTGCCCTGTATGTGCCATGCTGCACAATACCGCATAAAACATTGCAGTAATAAGACGTGGTAAAAGAATGCATTACCATCAGGTGTCAGAATATGAGATTATCTTGATCACATCTTGGTTTAGTGCAGGTCACCCACTACAAAATGTACACAAGTTAGTGAGCGCATTCCCTTAAGCTACATGGCGGGTTCATAGCATGTTCGAAATGATTTCATGCACCAAGTGGTTCAAGTACACACTAGCGACAGGATATCATTACCACGTTCAACACTTAGAACGCAAAGCTCAAGGGTCCCCTATATTTTTCTTTTTATGTCTGTATCTCGCTTCCAC